CAGGGCATCAAGGCGCCGATGCTGGTCGCCGGCGCGGATGCCGCCGAGGCCGTCGCCTGGATGAACGCCAATGGTTTCGTCACGACCTTGCTCGGCCCGAAGCCCGGCAGCGCTTCGTCGGTGAAGATGATCCGCAGCACGCTGGTGAAGGGCATCGAGGCGCTGGGCGTGGAAGCGCTGGTCGCCGCGCAGCGCCAGGGCATCCTCGACGAGGTGCTGGGCTGCCTCGGCGACGCGGACTCAATGGGCCTGAGCGGCTTCATCACCATGCTGGTGCAGACGCATGTCGTGCATGCCCATCGCCGCTGGGAAGAAATGGGCCTGGTCGCCCAGACGCTGCGCGAGACCGGCGTCGATCCGCTGATGACAGAGGCCATCGAGAAGAGCCATCGCCGCACCGTCGATGCCCATATCGCGCCGGCCGACGGCCAGGTGCCGAGCCTCGAGGATGCGCTCAAGATCCTGTCGGAGAAGGTGATCCGTGGCAGGTGAGGTTTTCGACCGGCTGGTGACGCTGCTCACCGACGCCAGGGCGAAGTTCCGCGTCATCGAACACGAAGCCCAGGGGAAGTCGGCCGAGATCAGCGTCATCCGCGGCAATCGTCCCGACCAGGCCGCCAAGGCCATGGTGCTGGACGTGCGTGGTGGCGGCGGCGGCAAACGCCATGTGCTCGCCATCCTGCCGGGCAGCCGCAAGCTCGACTTCGCGGCCGTCGCCACGCTCTTCGAGGCGCGCAAGTGCGGCTTCGCCTCGCCCGAAACGGCGCAGGAACTGACCGGCTGCGTCATGGGCGCGGTGCCGCCGTTCGCACTCGATCCGGCGATCTCGATCGTCGTCGAGGAAGACCTGCTGGCCAACGAGACGCTGTTCTTCAACGCCGGCCGCCTCGACCGCTCGATGGAACTGGACACGAAGGACTGGCTGGCGATCGCCAAGCCGCGCCTCGCCCGGATCGCGACGCGTGACTGAGGGTTGGCGCTTCGGTCCCGTGACCGAAGACGATTTCGAGCCGTTGCTGGCGATCCGCACGGAGGTGATGCGCGAGCATCTCGAACGAGTCGGACGCTACACGCCCGAGCGTTCGCGCCGCATGTTCCGCGGCCACTTCGACGAGCCGGGCACGCGCCTCATCCTGCAGGACGGGGTGCGCGTGGGCTGCGTCGGATTCCGCCGGCACGAGCATGAGATCAGGATCGACTCGTTCTATCTCGAACGCCGCCTGCACGGTTCGGGACTGGGCACGACGATCCTGAAAGCGCTGCTGGCCGAAGCCGACGCGACCGGTCTTCCCGTTCGGCCTCGAAGTGCTGACCGGCAGCAAGGCCGACCGGCTCTACCTGCGCCACGGCTTCGTGAAGCTGCGGGAAGACGAAATCGAGGGTTTCTACGAACGCCTGGCCGTCGGCCAATCGATCCCGGCGCTGCAGCCTCGCGGCCCCGGCCATCAATTCGTCTTCTACGGCGACGCCTGCTCTGGCGTGCCGGGCGCGGCGCACGAGAGGACCTTTGCCGGCATCAACGCCGCGGTGCGGCGCCTCTTGCCCTCACCCGAGTTCATCCTTTTCCTCGGTGACGAGATCGCCGGTTACACAGCCGATGCCGATGCTCTGCGCCGGCAGTGGCGGCACTGGCTCGATGAAATGGCCTGGCTCGATCGACGCACGACCCCGATGTGGCACACGACCAGCAACCATGCGACCTACGACGTCATGAGCGAGGAAGTGTTCAAGGAGGTGCATCCTCACCTGCCTCGC